TATATAAATTACTTAAGCATTACAATGATACAGGTTGTAAGACAATAAAGTTTTACAAGAAAATAAAAGGAAAAAAATATGTGATATTTTCCATTACTTTTAGGATTCAGCCTTGAAAACCTTTCCATTACTAAGTTTTGTAACAAAAGTTTATCTGCAATGTGACAGACTTCTATACTGTCTTAGGTTTCCCTCCTATTTTACAGGTTTCTCACAATTTAATGTAAAGCTAACTTCCCCAGTTCCCATTTTCATAGAAGTGCCTGAATGACCAGGTATTTCTCTTCTTTTTTGTGTGTGCAAAAGAGGACAAAGAACTAAATAGAAAACAATTACACAAAAAGTAGAAAATGTGCAAGTCAAATAAAAATGTTAATAGGATTGTGAACCATTAAAGAGAACAAACTTTCATGATCAAAGTAACAATATTTAGAAGACAACACATTGCTATTGCTTTCCTTTCAGCTCTCCATACTCGGATCAGCATGATTCCTATGACAAAAGTTATCTTTTTAATAAAGAAAATGGCTATAGCTTTTTTTCAACAACAGGTATGTATATAAAAATTAACATGCTCAAAATTCGTAATTTACTCCACTCTGTACCGTGTATACAAATAGCTGTTACACTTTATAGAAAATTATATAATTTTTTAAAGATAAATTTTCATAAAAAAACCTTCTATTCATACCAAAAAAAAAAAAACTAGCTCAAATATCCATTAAATTAAGCCATAATGATAGGGAATTTTTGAGACATCTTTCAATTGATCTGTGCTAATATCCCCATATGATTAGGACAAAACTTCAAAATATATTTTATTACACCTAGCAACTAACATATAAATTATTTTTTCAGCAAACATTTAAAGTCATCTAGCTGGGATGACTTCCCAGCACAAGCTTCTGTCCTTCTAGGACATGCTAGGGCAAACAATTGGTTTTTTTAAGCCACTGAGGTTTACACTGAGCTAGATTAGAGAATACAATGTCTATGTGTGCCTTTTCTCAGTCCATCTCCAAGTAGGCTAGTGTGGCATGGAATGAAAAAATGAATTACTTTTAATGATACAAATGTATCACCATGGACTTACATTCGCTGTAGACTTCCCCATCAGAGTCTGTGCTTCCTGAGACTGCAAGGAGTGCCTGAGAGCCAATACTATTTAAATCAACTTTTTCAATATCTGACACCATGGAATTTACCACTTGCTGATCAAATAGGGCTGGCCGAGCAATCTGTAAGAGAAGACAAGGTAAAATGCTGAGACCTTGTTGTAGTTTATCCCCATCCAGCAGCTAATGTCACACAGCCATTCAATCATTGCCCACACCCTTGTGTGATGAGGGACAGAATTGGAAGTGTGAAAGTAAGAAAACTCAAGGGTTGAGATAAAAACAGTTTGATCATTAAAAAAAAAAATCAACCAACCAAAAAATCACAAACTAAAACAAAAACTGAAACAAAAAAAAACCAACCCACAACCAAAATTGTAAGGAAAAGGAAAAAAATAGTATCAGAGAGAAAAATACAACCCAAGACAAGTAAGGCAAATGAAAACAATTGCTCACCACCAACCAACTGATGCCCAGACAGTCCCTGAGCAGCAGTTCTCCCTGCCAACAACCCCCCTAGTTTTATTGCTGAGTGTGATGTAACATGGCATGGGATATCCCTTTGGTCAGCTGGGGTCAGCTGTCCCTGGTGTGTTCCCTCCCAGCTTCTTGTGCAGCTCCAACCTATTCACTGGCAGGGCAGTGTGAGAAGCAGAAAAGGCCTTGACTCTGTGTAAGCACTGCTCAGCAGTAACTAAAACATCCCTGTATTTTCAACACTGTTTCTAGCACAAATCCATTTCCATTAGACTTCTAATGCTCTTCTAATGTGCCTTCCTATCAGAACATCTTCATGATGTCACCTGTGTGCTACTTCCATCTTAGAATTTATGAAAGACAAAACTAAGTGAAGATGAGTATATGATGCACCTATAGTTATTCATGAGGACAACCACTTCAAAGCTCAAGCTGTTAACATTTAAGTTCCCCAAAAGGCATTGTATTTGGTATAATCTACCAAAACATCACATGAAGGTGCCTCCCTTAAGCACAGATACCTGTGTCTTGCCAGCATAGCCTTGGAGCCCTCAGCTACATGTTCTCCTTTCAGTCAAAACTCAAAAAGAAATAAGCTCCCTAAAGGACATAATGGAAAAGACAGTAAACCTTTGCTGGGCAAGGAGGATCATCTGATATTTTCCAATTTGGAACTAAAAGAAATAGCCATATATTCCATGTATACCCTTCATTATTTGACTGCCAAAAGTTCTCATGACAGTAGTTCATTATAACCATGGCCTTTTCCTCTCTCTTCTACTACAAAAGTTTGAAGTTTTGGTCAGATCTATTTATGGTCACTTTCTTCTTGCATGGTTAAATCTACAAGATAGAAGTCTTCTGTGGCTGAAATTGAACTTTGAAAAAATAATGCATTATATCTCATAGCCAGCAAGATGCACTGACTGTAACTGACAATTTTTTTGAGGTATAGTCTTATTCTGTTTACCTGTGCTAGGTGTAAGAAAGATGTCTGTCGTTTCAGGGAAGAAACGAATCTTCGTGCAATAGGCAGTTTCTTATCTGTCAGGTTTTCTGGTAGATTTTCCAAAGAGGAAACAACCCACTGCTCCCAGTTTTTTGCAAAATTTCTTATATCTGTCAGTAAACTACAGGAAAAAAATGTAGTTTGAAGAAACATCAATGGCAATTGTCTTGCATTAGTTTAAGTAATTTGGTTTCAATCTACAATTAACAGACTCCTGGACGTATCTGTGAATTACGACTCAGGTGTCACCAAAAGGAAACAGGAAATAACCAACCAGCAAAATGCTAAAATTGACTATATATTGATCTATACATCTTCCGAGAAAAACTATAAGCCATCTGCCAGTTGATACAGGTTGAAAAACACTAGCTTTAAGGAGAAACCATAATAAATCCAAGAACCATTAGAGATATCTGAAGTTAAGGGCCTTAGTCAGACAATAAACCACAAACAGGATGCCTTTCAAGGGAAGGTGAGAAGATTCAGGGATAACTTAAAACAATCATTTTATTAATATCTTGTTGAGAAAATGCTTAGATATAATGGCAATGCACAGGATACAAACTTGAAAAGTATTCTGAAAAAAAAAGTAAAAATCTTTGCTTAAACAACACAGGAACATTTGTATCTTTTTTGATCTTCTAGGGATTTAGTGTAGAAGAAACCTGTTTTAAAATATCTAACAAACCAGTAAATTGGGACATTAAAATACCATGTAATATTTTAAGGCTATTCTGTAGCTGTCCTCAGGACTGACAGTAGTTTGCCCTACATACTCTACTGCTCTAAAAATGAGCATAAATATTGCAAAAAAAATTCTCTACGATATAGAATTTCTGCTATTTGCCTGTAATATGCCAAATAAACAGAATGTAGCATTATTATTAAATGTCAAATACCTACCTTTCTGGCATTTCTTGCATTGTTGCGGGGATGAGCACATCTGTAAGGACCTTCAAAAAGGTAACAGAAAATTATATCAAGCTTACACTGGCCATTTATTCATTCACGTCTGTCTTGTCTACTTAGATTGCAAAGTGATAAGAACAGGAAATTTATACAGAATAAAGCCATTCAACCTCTTGTACAGATACTTATATAACTAGATTTCTCCCGTCGCTATTAGATAGGAACATATGAGAAATTTATTTACTTAGATAGCTCCCATTCTTAATGTACACCAGCATGCCAGTAAAACTAGAAAGTGCTGTCACTTACATTATACAGTAGGGAAATCAGTAGATGGTAGATGCATCAACACTTTTCTAGCACCACTGCCTCAGTAAAGCAGATATTCAAGCATCTCCCAACTATTTGAGTGCTATTAGCCACTTGACTCTTCTTTCTGCCACACTGCATGCAGCACTGAAGACATTCAGAGTTTAGGACAAGTGACCTATAGCTAAGGAACTGTTTTGGAAAAAACTCCCATCTGGGGCACACCTTTCTGGGGAATGTTTTTGTGGAAGGCAAAGTTGTTAGCTTATATCTTAAAAATAATTTTCCACTACTAAAGTAAATTGTTTGATAACAACACAATAAAATTCCTCCTTTTCTAGCAGCTTTGCTGTCAAGAATATCTAACACGATTATATATGAGAAATAATGAGAGACAAAAAAGAAACATAATAGTAAATCAGTGAACTTTTGAGAAATTCTGGCTTATTCAATTTCTAATTTAGTGCTGCTGCAGTATTTCTTCTTCTGTCACATTAAATATTTATTACAAATAAATACTGGATCTATCGGGACAGCATGTTTAGAGCAGGAAAAAACTCATAAACTCAAGGTACAATATAACCTCTACAAGAAAATGAGGCATAATGGCTCATCTCCAGGGTAGTAGTTATTATCTTTGATGCTAATCACCTTTACTTCCCTTTGCTATCTAAAAGACCTCTTCTTACTTTACAGCTTGATATGCCTCTAAGAAACAAATATTTTAATCTTTCTAAAATTTTTTTCCTCATATTTTTGTACAGTAAAGAATGTCAAATAGATGACTATAAGGCACTCAGTGCTAAACAGGCCCAAGCTGCTTGCTTTGACTACTTGGTGTTTACTGTTATACCAATAGTTATTACCACCGATATGTGTTTGTGAAATGCGTTAGAGGATGACAGCCCTTTTCTATGTATATGGCACGTCCTATCAGAAGAACTTAAAATACTGTGTAATATTTTGTAGTATTTTGCAGCCAGTAATTAATGACCTGATCTGATTTTCAAAATTAAAAACTCATGAAACTTTGGTGGCATTACTTAATTTATTTTTTGCCCAGCGCTCTATGGCTTAATCTTGACCTTGCAATACTCTTCAGTTTCACTTAATTTCAACTATTTGTGTGATTCCCCTGTAAGCTAGATCAAAGAACTCATATGACACCAAAACTGCAAAACAAGTGTTTCCTAGAATTTTTTTCAATCCAAACCAGTTCAGAGTGCAGCAGTTTTGCTGGTACATCTAGCAGCATAGGAACAGAAATGAAGTGTAGTAGGCAGGAGATGCAGGAATATCTTAACCCACTATTGTTCCAGCTCTGTCACATGAAACCATGGCCTGACATAACCTGGGAGTAGCAGATTCGCATGCGAAATCACCTCACTGATCTGCCACAGACTCTCTTTGCTGGTAGAAATTGCAATAATCTGCTAAGTAAAAACAAGGCTTCAGTTTCCATCCAGGCTTAACTTAGTCAGCCTTGTCAGTGAAGCACACAAGCACTTCTTTTAGCTACATTCAAGCAATTAGGTTAGGATTTCACCATTAGTGTGCTGCCTGTAGTCACACATCGAGTGTGCAGCAGAGCTGAGAGTGGAATTCTGCTCTTAAATGTGCCAGTTTTATGCTCTTGATTTCAGTGGAATCCTTGCTGATTTACACAGGTAAAAGGCAGAAAGTAGTCATGGCATCCTGTTATTTTAACTTCAATGCTGTTTTTACACAACGCTGTTTTTACAAAAGCTGTAATGTGGTTGAGATTATTCATGTAGCTAAATGCTTAACTTACCTTATACAGTATTGAGTCACAAACACAGAAGATGTCAATGATGATGGGATTTTCAAGCAGGGGAAGAAGATGGTCAGGCATTCCTTGCCAAAAATGTAGTAAGAAATGCCGAATCTAAAGGAGTAGAAACCAGATTCATGGACATAAATAATGCTTTCTTGGCTCCCTGTGCATATATACCAAGAATGTGTGTTCAAACAACCTTACCTCTTCAAAGTTCCCATTAATTGCATTGTCAAGGACACACTGACAGTGTGTTTTGTACATCATGATAAGAGTATCTACCTATTTTGGGAGAAAGAAAGATTAAACAGAGTTTCTTAGCTCACTCTTTTACTACTCTAGTGATCTAGCTTTCTGTAGCTAGTATTTAAATATAGAATATAAACTGAATTACAAAGCATATTTAAAAACAGGCAGTCTGTATATCCAGAAGTGATGCAGAAGTCACTCATCTCTAGTTTTTATCGACATCTTTAAGTCTTAATGCTGTTGTAAGAAATGTAGCATCTGAACCTGTATACACTCTGAAAATCTAGATATCAAAGTAAGGCAACAGCTAGATTAGCCAGTCAGATGGTAAAGTAAATTCACCTTTCTGAAGCAAGATTAATCCCAAGGAGTTGTGTAAGTTAATCATTAGGCTACTATAGGCGTCTATGAGTGTTCTGAAACATCATCTAGTTGGACAAATGAGAAAATAGCTGCCAGTCATTTGGTCAAAGTTTAATCACTGCCTTACATGAACTCAACTTTAAAAAGCAGAACTCCTTTCATCTCATCGGGCTAATTTATCTGAGTGGAGTGTTCCCTTATTTTAATAATTGTGCAAAGATATTACATGACTTTGCAAAAAATTGTTGTAAATTTTTAAATTTTAACCAAATTATAAAACAAGAATTTTGTAAAGTGTTTTAAGAAAAGGAGAACGCTATTAAAACCATTCTTATGGTCCAGAATCACAGAAAGTTTGTTACAGCTTGCAAACTTCTCTGGCAAACCAATATCAGGTTTCAGATGAACCTGATTTATTTCAATAGGTTTAGCATACAGATTTCTTTGAAAACAGACCTTGCTGGCTTTCAGAGCTGCTTCTGTAACTACATATCTTTGAAAAACAATGGCAAAGGGTAAGATTCAAGAACATTTTAAAGAAGTTTTTTTTGGAACAAGTTGATGGAAGTTTAAATTTTGGGTAACTTTTCTTCAGAAACATAAAATGCAGAAATTATTAGTCTATTTTAGTGCAGACTACTACATTTATGGACTCTCCGGAGACCAGCTGCATGCAGTTTCTTAAGCATTTAGTGCAGGAGTCAAACTTCAAGTATGGGCTCTCTTCAAGAGAGTACTTAAATATCTTAGGTTTAATAACCCTTGGTCAAATAAGCTAAAGGAGAGGAAAGAAGGTAAGGAAGCAGGAAAGAAGAGAACACGGAATGAGGAAAGAGCAGCAAGGAAAAACAGAGAGGGAGACACACAGAAATTCATTTCTCTTCCCACAGCCTTCTCATAACTCCATGAGTCTGTCCTCAGACAGAGTCACACAAAAAGCCCTGCTGGGCCATTCCATCATCTGGTACCAACAACAGAGGAATTACGCACTGCTGACCCAAGAATGAAGAGAAAAGGGGTTGCATACTTTTCTTCATTGTTGGAGTGGTGAAACTCAGTTTTGCTTATGCTGCTGTGTTGGGTCTGCAAGGAACCCCAAATGCTCTTCAGACTTAAATGTTATGAGAATGCTGTATACATGAGAATGCTGTATGTATGAGAGATGTCAATTCACTGATGAGACTATAGCAGCAGGTGATGCACACTGCATCAGTTCTTGGGCTCTCTTTAGGAACTGTAAGATTTTTCTCTGTAGTACAGATGGCTTCTTTTGTTTAGCTCTTCACAAGAGGAATCCCAGGCTTCACTACTTTCACAGAACAAACTTAGAGGAAGCCCTCATAAAACAAAAAGCTTTAAAGCAACGTATCTCAAGACAACCACCATCATGACCCCTACTGGAGGCTAAAGTAGAGAGTTCACAATGTGCACCAAAAGGTTTCCAGCACAGTTCAGAGATGTAGCAGCCTGTAATGTGACCAGAAACAACACAGACGTAACACACAGGCAAACAGTCAGACATAAAACATATGCCAGCAATACTTCTAAATGAACAGATACCCTTAGGATGAGCAATACTGAATATTGATTTGAGGAATAAGATTTTACTAATTCAAAAAGAAAAAACATATGCTCAGATTTTTCCAGTCTCTTTTCAAACAATTAATGGAAGAGAAAAATTATTTGTTGTGAATTATTTGTTCTGATATAATCAGAACAACATTTACCTTACATCCAAAGGTATTTGGAATGAATACAAGTTTCAGTTATTTGTTTGGTTTGCTCTCCCTGTCTTACATACCATCAGTTTGTAAAATACTAGGTCAGTTAATAGGTAAATAATTCAACCACCTTTCCAGTGGAAAGCCAGGTAATCGCTGTTAGTAAAGGTTTGCCCCCTCTATAAATCTGTCACCTCTGTTTGATTATGGACATTTCTGGCTCTTTCATGTCAATACCTCAAAGGCTAAGACATGAAGAAACATTCTCTGCCAATTTTTGATCTGTAAGTCAGAAAAGAAGCAGCTCACATTTTACCTTGTCTTTAGAAATGCACCCTTGAAGCAAAAGGTGTTGAGCACTTGGAAACTCTGGGAGAAGTGTTCCAGTTTTAGAACTCAGAGAATATTTACGAGTGAAACCACCCTGAAATGGAAGGGGAAAAAAAACCAAGAACACTTAAATAGCTAAGATAGATTCAACTGAAAACAACAATTCATGCTAAACTCTATATTGTCTCATGAGTCTCTCATAGTCTCAGAATATTTACATTCAGATAATCCTTCCAAAACACTTATGCTTATCCAAATCTAGATTCCAGCTCAGGAAGGTAATTAAATATGTGCCTAGTTCTAAACTCCACCAAAATGCATTTTCAGACTCATGCAGCCTTTGAGCCATATTACTTTATCAAATTCTACAAGCTTGGAATTTAATCTATGTTTAAGAAGTAGAATAGAGTCTTATGCTCTCCTCTACAATATGGACTGTTACAATCTCAGGGAGACCCTGAGTTTTATTTAATATGCACCTTTCTAGTGCAAGGATCTAGTTCAAGGTGGTACTGTTCTTCCTTGTTCTCTTCCTGCTCTGATAGAATGGTAATAGTGATTTCTGCTGCTTTACTATGGTAATCACTATTTAGTTTATGATAAAGTTTGATAATATTTTATAACATTATGGATGTCATGGCATGTAGGGTCTACGGGCACTTCTGAACTACCTATTTATTGTACAGCTCTCTGTGATTTTGGCAGACTTGACATGAAGGCCCAGAAAATATCTTCCAGATCTGTGTCCTACTGTATTAAAACAGTTATTCACATTAATAGGAATTCACATTTTTCACATTTTCACATTTTTTTCACATAATTCACATTTTTCCTACATTTGTAGGAAAAACTAAGGATAATGAGCTGCATACTCTCCCAGGGCATGTCACCAATTTTAGCTGACTTCCTCCTGCTCTGTTGAAATGGCTGAGAGTTTGGCTATTCACCTCAGAGACTAGACTTTGTTCTGTGAACATTTTTGGAACATTTTGCTTTTGTCCATAAGGGAAGAATAAAACTATACTGGGTAGCACAGGCACACAGAGCCACAGGTGTACGCAATATAAAAAATCCTGTACAGAGGCTCAGTCCCAAAGTTCTAAGTCTGGGGTCACAGACTGAGCCTAGAAAGAGGAGATGAAGTTTCAAAGCGTCTTTACTTCCTTCCTTCAAAGGAAAAAAAAAACTTTCTCATGCTAACTCTTTAGCAACAAAAAAGGGATATTAAAAAGGCATCTATTGATATAATCATGGTTTCATATTTCAATAAGAATGATACTCCCAGCTGTTTAATGTTCTCCAGTTACTTTCTTGAGACACAGTCAATACTGACCTGAAGTCAAGATAAATTTCTCCTGATTATACTAAATTCTGCTGATCTGAGAGTTTCTTGCAGTTCTTAAGAATTCTTAAGCCTCTTTAGTTTGTGGCACCTCAAATGTCATAGACACATCTTGTACTAGTTACAGACTGAGAAAAGTTCTTGACTAATATCAGATGCTAGCCTTCAGAGAGATGGAATTGAAGGATGAAACAAGTAGCCTCATATGTGTAGATACTGACCATGAAGCAATATATGGTAAGTCAACCCTTGTTTAGACTCCTAACCTAATACTCTCACAAAATCTGATTTAGTCATCTACTCAGTAAAGCTGCACAGTAACCTTCTGTAGTGATACAGTGTAACTATGCTTATATTTATAATGCATACAACATTAGGCTTATTAAGCTCTCAAATGGTATAACCAAAATAAAACTCTCATCCTCAAGAGATGCAATAACATTTATATTTATGATGCTGTTCTTACTGGCTGCATTGTACTTTATTACAGTCATAGGATTTAATTCAAACCTAGGAAAACTCATCTGGCTGAAATCCTTTGCTCCATTTTAGTCCACTCTGTCCTTTGGTAAGGCTGTGTACAGAGCCTTCAGTAGGCCTTCTGCATATTGGTGCAGTAAATCCATTACTTCTGTGCAGATTCCCTTTGTACTAATGCACGGGATTTGTGACCATGCACTAGGCTTTTGAACAGTACTTGAAATGGTCTTTTCCTACCCCTTTACATACAGTCGGATTTCACTGAAGTGGGAATAGTAGGTATACCGTGTAACACATAGTGTAAAAATGTGCAAAAGGGGTATTTTCCCATAAACGCTGATTTTCCAATTGAGGTCAGTTTCAAGTGAAATTTTCCCAAATACTGAATTCAGAAAACTATAACTGGGTTATTCATTATACATATATCCCTATTTTTATAAGGTGATATGTCTGCCAAAACAGACAGCAAGGACTGAAAGCATATATTATGTAAACACACTTTGCCTGGGCTATCTACTGTTCAAATACATATAAACCTCTAAGTCAAAGAAATTATAGAAATTTAGAAACATTAGTACTTCTTCGTGTCAATACTTTTGCAGTTTTATAATTGCCTATCAGTATCAGGAGGTTCTTTTTTTTTAATAACAGGAGTACTCTCAATGATTTTATTATGCAATTACCCATGAAATATACTAAAAGCTCTGATTAAAAGGGATTAGTTCATTTAAAAGAAGGCAGTGATGGTGGTGGGAGGTTTAAGAGAAGATAAGCTGCAATGTTTTTTACCTTGCTAATGGACTTATATGACTGCCTCAGTTCTAGGCTTAATATTTTAACCCACTGCCACTTGCCCTTTCAATTTAATGCCATCTGTTTCTAATGGCCATTTAACATTAAGATAATGACAGTAATATTATCTGCCTAATTAACCATGCAGACTCTAATGGTGCACTAACTGGTTTAGATAAAAGAATTTGCTGATATCTCCTCCTACAGAGAGAATACTAGAAAATGTGATAAAACATACCAGAAGTAAACAGTGTCCCTGGCACTCAGTAAGTGTTCATTCAAATGCCATTTACTCAGTATATTTAGACAATCAGTGCTTTAACATCTTTTCAATGTCTTTATGTTCCTACTGAGAATTACACCTCATGCAATCATTGTAAATCTTTCTGGAATACCTAATTGCATGTACTTCCAAGCAAATGAATAAGGATACATCACCTGTTCACTTTAATGAAAAGCACGTTGCCAAATTTTCAGTAAGTGGAGCTTGTTAAAATTCAGCTTTGACCACAAACTGCATTTTTTTCTTTTAAGATCTGCTTGAATAATTTCAGAGAAAGACAACAAAAATATATTGATGTGCCCTTTCTCACTTATTTCAACAGACTTCTCTGTGATTCTTTTCCTGGGAGAACCAAGGCAGTGAACTTTGGGGCAGAAACAAGGTGGGTTTATAGGACTGTCAATTCACAAACAGACTGGGAATGCCACATCAGAGATGGAAGTAAATGTGCATTTGTTTGTGTCAAGGGAACCAGAAATTTTCCATCCCAAAACTCTGAAAGAATGAATGCTGTAGCAGTGCTCATGAATCCTTGCATATGTTGAGGATATCCCATGGCATAGCACTATCTTTTTTTTTTATAAGATAGCTGATTATCTGAACAGGAAAATTGCAGCAGATCTAATCTATCTGAATCTCACTGAAATACTTGGAGTGGTGTCATCATAGGAAATATTTAGTTATGCTGTTGAGAATGGGGATTAGGACAAGAATGTAAAATGTTTAAGAAACTGACTCCAGCAGAAATGATAACAAGTTGTGTTGACAGGGAAACTACTGGACTGAAAAGCGATTGAAGTGAAGATTCTCAAAGATCAGACTTGGGGCTGATCTCATTGAACATTTCACAGGTTATATTGGCTGACACAAGCTAATGAAATCTTCAATAAAGAGGAAGACCAAGAGGTCACGTAGAAAGGACTGGGTAGCTTTGAGATAACAGCAATAAAGGGGATGAAAATCAGTAGAGCAAAGCTACACTCTCAGGGACCAATAAGAATTTCTGCTATCAGCTAGAAGTCGCTTATCTAGAAATGAAAAAGGAGAAAGACTTGATGTGTATCAGTTGATCACAGAGGGTATATTTAGTCTCGTAAATTAAATGGTGTCAGGAAAGGTTCCCAGGCAGTACAGGGACAGTATTATTCAGAATGGCCCCTGGGATTCTTTTGCCCTTGCCAATCAGCAGTCTCCCAAACAACTCCCAGCCATGCTTCAACAGTTACTGCATGCTAGAGCCTTTTCTCCAAGGCAGTGTGGCAGAGATGTGCCTGTGCTGCTTTGTAGGGTTAGGAGTTTGATGACATGGATGCAGGCTATTCCATGCCTATTGAATTTAGTGTCAAAGAACAATCCTGGGAGCAATCCTTAACCCTTTATGTAAAATAATCCATAATTTTCTATATAAATATAACCAGAATAACAGTGACTATACAATAGTATACAGTAGTAAAAATGTAGACTACTTCTGAAAAACCCCTCCTGCAAAAGTAATGAATGAAAAAAATTAATCTACAGCTTGATCTTTAGTTTAAGAAGAACCATTTGTCCTGGTTCGAGATAAATAGAACTGATTTTTCTATTTAGTGATTTTACTTTTCAGCTCAGTCTCTTCTAAGTGGCTGAACTTGCTGAAAGCAAGCAGCACGTTTTTCCAGTCAGTGTGATAATCTCAAGGTCGCTGTCTCACCATGGGTGCCGTGTCTGTGCCTACGGGGGGAGAATGGACCCAAAACTGACCAACTAGGTATTCCATCCCACATACATCATACTTGGTATAAAGCCAATGGGATCACAAGGGTTTCGACCCTTCTTCCATCTTGGAGCCCTTCCATCTTGGACCCTTCCTTCCGTCTCGATCCTGCAGAGGCCAAAGTTCAAGCAGAACTCCGCTGTTTCGTCTGCCTCTGATTCTGATTCAAGTGTTCCTGCATCCTGCTCCCACCTGCTGCTGAGTTCGGTCTGGGACTTTTCCAGTGCCCGGCTCCGCAGAGCCTCTGGTGATGTATTCATCATT